CCCCTGTGCTGTTACAATCTATTCACATGTGATGCCACATGACATATATAAATTTTCTTAATTCCAAAAGTACCCTTTTATGATCAGTTTTGCCCTTCATTGTTTTTTAAATTTTCATCTACCTGGGAATCAAATTGATCTGAAAATTTTATGATGGAGAGTGTTGGTTTTGGATGATGCGGTGGTAATAGCGGAGTTTGGCATTTTTAAAAGGGGAAAGCGGTGTAAAGTGTACAGGGCGGACCCTAGAATGTTGGTTTCAGACAAAGGATTGAGGGAACGAGAGGTGTTTTGCATTGCTGCTTGTTTGTGTGAGACTTCTGCCCTAAGGTTTCGGATCAAGAGGCTTGGGTATCTTAGGTATGGAGCTGCAAACCAGCCCCGGGTGTAAGGTTGTTTGACTGCACCAAGCTTTCATTTTCCCATCAAAAGCCAATGCCCTGCTGCTTGCTCCAAGGTTTAGCCGTAATATTTATTTGGGCTATCCCCTATCTCTGCGTTGTTGGTCTCCGTTAGAAGATAAGCTCTGCTTTTTGGAGTCTTACAAACCTTGGTGGGTTAGATTTATCAGGCTTCCTTTGAACGCCTGGTGCTTAGCTGTTTTTCAGAGTGTTGATGATGCTCTTGCTGGGGTCATTGAAGCAGACCCGGGCAGAGAAGAAGCTCTGCCTGCATCAAGAAAAATTCAAGAGATATTATCTGGTTTTGAGACTTCAGATGTAGAGTTGTTAGGCAAATTTGGGTGGAGAAGAAATGTTATATTTTAAAATTTTGAAGAAAAAATAAGGGTAAAATAGTCTTTTAAATCATTCCATTACCAATTCCTAACAATTGTCCATTGTCAGAAATGTCCAGGATACTTTAAGTAATTTCTTAAACATTAGGGTATGTTTGTGTCCATTTACTAAACCATTAGGATAAGTATTTAACCCTTCTTATTGGAAACTATCACCTATGGTTTATCTGAAAGATGATGAAACAAGGTCATTTTCAAATTGGCACCTTCTCTCACACAGGTTCTCTCCTCTAATAGTGTTCATTTGTTGGATATCGATAGCCTTGAGCATACAATTATTGCTCATGATTCCAGCCCAAATAGAGCTCAACAAAACCTACCTCCACGGCTCCACCTAGGTGGTGTAAATTAGACCTGTTCACGGGTCAGTTTCAGGCCTGATTTACACTATGTCAGGTTCATGTTTTGGGCCGAGCCCCATTCAAATTTTGGCAAAAACTAAACCCGAACCCAGCCCATGAACAGGTCTAGTCTAGACCACCCTTAAATTTGATCAAGATTAACACCGAATGGTGCCTGGAATTTCTCTCTCTGCTATTGGAGTTGCCATAAGAAATCATGATGGTCATTTCATAGTTGAAGCGGCCTAATAGTAAACCGCATCTTCCTGATGAAATCAAAGGTTCGTGCCATTTTGGAGGGTCTACTCTTGGCCAAGACCATGAAGATGGACTGCATTACATTAGAGAGATGCGAAAGAGGTAGTGGAATCACTGTCTTCTGACTTGGAACCACACTGGAGGATTCTTGAATGCAGAAGCCTTCTGCTTGACTTTCAGTGCAAATTACTCATACATCTCGTTTTTGTAATAAACTAGCCCATGAGCTAGCTAAATATGCTCTTTGCATAATCTTTCCATGACCTGGCCAGTCATTCCAGATTTTGCCAAGTCATTGGTACTTGATGAGATGTAAATGTTGATTGTTGAATGAAATTGCCTTAGGACTTCAAGAGAGAGATAGAGAACTGTAACGAGGGAGAAAAGAGCCTTCAAGCATTTGCTTGAATAGCTCTGTCAAAACTTTCTTCCGCAGCTGATGCACGTTTGACAAGCATATGGTCAGGATATGACAGCTTCAATTGGCTGCAGAAATGCAAGAACAAAATTAAACATATCTTACAAGAATTAACAAATTTTCCCTTGTAAGCATAAATAAAATAAAACAAAAAGATACATCATATGTAATTTTTTAAGCCAGATATCATATGTAGTTACTTCTTGGGAGAATGACGATTTAGCCCAGGGTCAGAATTTGTAGGCTCAAACTACATTTGGGGTAGGTGCCAGCTTGGAATTGATGCCAATTCACGGGCGGGTATGGGAGTAAAGAGTGTGGGTTTTTGAACTTTTGAATGTTTATAGCTCTGCAATGGAAATCAGAAATCTGCATTGGGCCTGTCCGAACTTCTCCATTACTTCTTTATCCATGTGTATCAAATTTATTGTGTTAGCTGCTCGTGCTAGTTAATGATCCCATGTAAGCCATGCAACATATTAAAAAGTAATAGGAGACCAGGAGATTAAATGGTAAATTGGCTTGCAAAAGAATATTTCAAACCTCTCAAAGTCCAGGTTTAATGACATACTAATGACGAACTAAGCAGAAAACAAAGAATTGGAATATGAGTGGTTTCCTCCACAATAAGCACCCTGTTCATGATACTTTGAGCTTTGGCAATAAGATGGGGAATTTGTATTAAATAGTAATGTTTCCACACCAAAGGAAATTTGAAAGTCTTCTAATTTTTCAATAAATAAATGTCATATTTTCTCCACACGCATGGATGCATGCTATTTAAATATAATTGTTTATTCTTCATATTGACCTATAGATCTTCAAGTGGATAAAGCGAGGATATGCTTCAAGAGGACACCGCCAGCACATTGGTATTGAAACTGAAGCCTTTTTTTTCTCTCTGTTAATTGGAGACTCAAAACTTCTCTTATGAAAAATATAGGGCAGTAGAAAAGAATAATGTTACAACCTTCCAGACCGCTAATGGAAGGACTAAGAAACTGAAAAAAAAAAGGAAAAATGAAAAAGAAAACCCAAGGGAAGGTTTCATAGGTTGGTTATTGTCGGAAGGAGCCAGCTAACTTGCTGGTAACGTCTATGGCTGGTCATGGCAAAGACTTGGGATCAAATCCCAACTCTTCACTGGAGTTGGGGTGTCTTGGAGTTTGGCGAGGGCTACCCCTGCCTATCAAAGAAAAAGGTTGGTTCTTGTTGGAATCATTGTTTTAAAAACTGACTCAGAACCAGAACCGTTTTGGCCACCAATTTCCAAGTCAGTGGTTTGACCGTCTTATCCAAATAGATCAGCCCATGACAATTTAAAAATAAAAAATAATATATATATATATAAGCCCAAAACCATTGTCCAGGTTGAATGGGTCGATGGTTTCACCACCCGGGACAGTGGGTTGCTGACCGACTCAATGGTTTTGGGCAAAATAGAGGTTTGGAGTCAAAATGGAACTTGTACCCTGACTGGTTCCCAGCCCGAACAATCCAATCGTCCAGATCAACAGCGGTTCAAAAAACCATGGTTGGAATACATGTTTTGGTTGTTGGTATAAAACCCCTATTCGATTCTAGGTTAAAGTAGAGAAGAAGAGAAAGAAGAAGAAGAGAAGAAGAAGGAGGAGAAGAAGGGTTCAGCCAGATTAGGAAAAATCAGTCCACCTCTAGCCGACCCACTTGTATTTATCTCCAATAACATAGTTACAAGAAAGACCATATTGTCCCTCATAAGTGATGGGACACATAACTTAAACTTAAATAAAATAG